CTATTTCCTCAGCTATTCATCAATGATAGAGGGCAAACAACAAAGATGACTGCATATGAATGAGATGGGAATGATTAAGGCTTGCTTCAAGATGAGCACAGTATCAAAATTCGCGCAAATTGACCTGTTTTATCAAATCCCGAAATCCCGGGATTTGATAAAAAACTTAAATTAAAAAACTTAAATCCCGGGATCGGGATCAGAGTTGAAATCTCGGGATCCCGTGCAAACCCTAGTTCCGACTGAACGTAAAACAATAACTTCAACAACTGAACGCCTCATCCAGATAGCACTTCACTATTTCAAGATGACTTTCATGGATGAACGCATCATCGTGTTTTGATGAGTTATTTGTGCGTGAATGGGTTCGTCGGGTGGTGAAGAAAGTATAATTTGAATGAATGATTCATTGTCAACTAAAAAAATACGTACGAGCAATAATAAAACATGAAAGGCAAGGCGCCCTAACATCGTTTCGAATGATTCAAATAAAAAATAGGTAATTCGAGTGCACTCATCACACCGTGATCGATGATACAATGCCATTTACAGGACACATGTGACAAAAAAAAATTCGACTGCACAAAGTATATTAGGTGCGCCTAAGGGAGACCGTTCAAGATAGCATCGTGAGGTGTGTTTTGAAGTTTTTTTGCTTGAATTAACAATTGTTTAGTTATGAAAAGTTCCGATTTCTGCGCCGAAAATTATTCAACGTCAAAGTCGTATATTCAATTGATTGATGGTTTTTTAGGAAATATTTCAAACAATCGCAAAAATGGAACGCAAACAAACAATCGAAACTGAGTGAATCAATCAACGAACCGATCGAAATCGGAATGTTTTGAAGTGAACCAAAAGTAACATTTCAAAGCAACAATCCACTCTTCTCATCGCAAAAAGTAACCAATCATCACCCTAAGTAACAACTGTTACATTGCTAAGAAAGAAGAGATTGTTAAATGTGCAAAGAAAACAAAACAAAAATGTCGCTGAAATAAGTCGTTAATCGTTCTCTGAAAGTTTCACTTCAACAATAAATGTGTCAACAAGAAATGATGATTCCAATCAAAATATTGCGACGATTTCCAAACGATAGCCAAATCGTAACGGATCGCCAACAACATTCATTTTTGCTTTTCGTTTTTTGGATCCTACTGTTACTATTTTCTTTTTACATCGGCACGAAGTTTTTGTTGCACAGTCCATTTCTAGGCACATAATTCAAATCAATCAGTTATAACACATCAAATCACAAAGACATTGGGAAAGCATCTATTTTCTCGGATTTAGAAGGGATTAGAGGAGAAATATTCCCAAATTTTCCGTCCTTCTTTGCAAAGAGATTCTTAATGGTCAAATTTCAACGTATTCAATAGAAGCATATTTCGAGATTCTATGAAACTACCTTCGAATTGAGAGAATTTTTGTGCTGAATCATAAATCCAACGGATGATATCATCAGAATTCTTTTCAAATTCATTCATTTCGCACATTCAAACAAAAATTCCTACAAACAGTCTCGTCAAAAAATTTGTCGTGAAATCTCTGTACTATCGCACTGTCTAACCGCAAAACGAATAAATGTTCCAGAGTTGATGGATGATTCTTTTAAAAAAAGATTTTGCTTACTGCAGATTTTGGATCATAGAGAGCGTAAAAGAAGATGTAGTGGATTTGTTCTGCTGAACAAATCATTAAGAATTAAATTAGTCTGATTCTAAAGGATAGCTGTAGACGTAGGCATTAATAATACATTGCGTCTAACTCCAACATAATCAAAAATAACTAACACCTGAATTTACCTAGTTTCGTGCTACTGTGTGATTATACTGGTAAGGTCATAAGGAAATTTCATGTTCTTATTGCCGGATGCCAATTTATTCACTGCAGAAAGACATTGTTCGCGAAAAAAATTACTTTTTCTGATTTGTCTACTCAATGAGAACAAGAACGCTCTTTGCAATGAGCACAGTATCAATGTTTGCTACATCTCGCATATAAATATGGCCCAGCAGATTGCTTTTAAAAGGGAGTAATAAGTGGAAATATTTTGAACTTGCAAATAAATGAAAACAATTGAGGAGTGTGGTGGGTTCATTGCATTGATCAAATGGACAACAGGCAGAAGCAATTGTAAGAAGAGTTGGGTGATGAGTCGGATAGATAAAGTTGGATAAAAAGATGAATAATGAGATTTGTGTCAATCACAAAGCATTCCGATTCAGATGATCGATATTACTATCACAAACGTCACCCGTTTTAACATTTCTTTTTAATCATTTCTATTCGCAAAGAAGTAACGTTTACCAAGTGATTATCATTATTTACATCATTATTATTACTGGCATTGTCGTTGCTGTTTCAATCGAATGCGAACAGCAACTACGTACAAAATCATAATGATTCACGAAGTTTGAGCGAACTTACTAATGAAATCCTATTTTTGTCATCATTCTTACAGTCGCAACATATCACATTAATAGTTCTTGACTTGAATGTTGAAATTATGATGCATGTAATGAAGTGAAGACAATTCGTGAGCTGAACTGAAGAACATCAAAAGATGGCATAGCAACAAGGAGAGTTGGGCAGAATATTACTGCTCGAGTAAAATATATTTCGTCTCATCCAACCGAAATCACGAAACAGTAGCGGTAATTTTCATAGAGCTATCAATTAGAATTCTTATTTTGAAGGAACTGTCAATCTCCATGAGTTGAGCTCATCAACAATCGCCTGTGAGCGTTCCGATCACTACTATCGAGTAGCACTGTCGAGATACTTAGATCACCGCTATGCTCAATTCATCCCAACAATGTTCCAAACACTATGAATGTCGTTAAGTGCTAAACGTAATTAGCCTCAAATGCACAATTGAACATTCAACAAAAAGATGATCTTCATGCTGTAACTAGAGCAGTGCCTCGTCGTTGAAGTCATTCTCTCATTTTAAAGGATAAATCTTCATTGTATGCGTGCTGGCCACACGCAATTTATCTTCCCTACTTCTGGATCGTTTCAGAACTATTGAATCAAGAACTCCTTCTAGAAGGAGTTCAGTTAAACTCTTATAGCTTTCAGTCTATCCCTATAGAGTGATTTATGACATTTGAGAATTACCGATCGAACCATCACAGAATGTCATGATTTGAGAGATCAGATGAGCACGTGTGCCATTTCTGAATGAATGATCTTTGTCGATGTTTTTCAGAATTTTCAAATGGTCATGATCATGCCTTGTCAGAAAATCAAGGAATAACATGACCGCATTGACCAAAGCTGAGCATAAGGGTAATGTGAGGCTGAGAACCTGAAAATGCTGAAGCGAGTCAGAGATGTGGAAGCGAGTACAGATATAGAGATGAATAACTCTCGATTGAGCCATTTTCACTCAGCCACTATTCGAGGTGATTCCCGAACAGAAAATCAACTTATGTGAGGAACTTCAGCGCAGTGATATCACAGAGATGGTATTCTAAAAATTACACGACTCGGTATTTATCTAACAGTTTCGAAAAATTGATAAAGTGACTAAAACGCTATGGAACAGGCACGTTACTGTTCCCGCTCCATAGCGGTATTGCTTTTGGACTGGATGGTTTTGATGAGAGATGCAGCCAAATATGTCGCATTCAATTCGACTTTTAATATGCGCTTGTAACACTTCAAAAACGATTGCCATTGTCACTAGCGCTTTTGTTCATGAGAGACTGACTCTGTGCAATTCCTTTTGGCACAGAGCAGAAACACTTTGCACCGTCGTCTATTCTCCCCTCCTTTACGCACCGTTTGTTTCTCTACGACTCCTCTCGCAAACGATTCACAACGCTTTTCCCTTATGTGATATGTTTTGGCGGTTATCTCTCGTAAATTTAAATAATAAAATTTGGATTTTTTGATTGACGTTGATAAATTTTCGCTGATTATTGCAGTGCTTGTGCTCGAGTTTTTATTCATTCAACTCAATTAGATCACCGTTCATTCTGTTCTTATTCCAGATACAGAGTTCTATCGGTTAATATCCATATTTTTCAGTAGACAACAAGTGTAGAAGACTCCTTCGGTTACCTTTCGTGAAGACGTCAGCCAAGAAAAAGGATGCAGATCCATCTCATTCCGAATCAGTCAGTTTTCCATGATCTCAGTTGAGCAGCAGTGTTCACATTATTCAAAAATTTATGAATAGTGGAGTTATTACGTGAAAGTGATGTAATTGAATTGTGCGTAAGTAAACGAATAGGCCAGGAACATTGATTTGTAGAGATGGTGTTAAACAGTGGATTCTGATCGAATTACAAGGAGGTTTGGAAAGTTGTTCGGGAGAAATTCGAGGACAGCTGATGGTCGGTAATCTTTGCTGGGACAATGATACCGTATGTTTTGTTCATGAAATTTATCATTTTTCTAATCTATTTCCATTGTCACGGTTGATTTTGTTCAGTTCGTTTTTAAGAGTTTGTGAAGTGCGTAAAAAGAAAGCATCTCTTGCAGACACACGATACAGCATGAAGGAAATATGTTTCCTGAAGTTCTGAATTTCAGTACGGTTGATGTTTTTTAAAAGCGTATCAAATGCATTTCAAGAGTTCCTGTAGAGCTGCTAATTTTTTTCTTCACAGTTAATAACATGAACCTATTTATGACACTTTCGTCCACAAAAGTTTCAAGTGTGCGTCGTTAATCGAACAGCAATTCGTCGATTCTCCGTTTGTTTGATTCAATGAATTTTAGGCAGTTTTCGTTCTCGGACACCAGGTAGTTGAGGGAAAAGCGAAGACATTAGATAAACCGTTTGTGGTACTTGCGAAGGGTGAAAAAACAACCGAAAATGAAGTTGTGGCTATTATTCGGAAGAAAATTCTCTTCTCGTTGCGTCCAAAACCGATCGTTTTTAAGCAGTTATCTTCATGATTCATTCATTTGGATTGTCATAATTTATGCTAGACTCATCCTCCAATCATTTTGAGCGGATTTGAAAGCTGACTGATCCTCGTGAATGTCAGGCCACCTCATCGGAATATCAATTTTCGATGTACTTCTCTTTGGGAATTCTACAGAATTAGACTGTTGGTCACTCACTGTGGTGATTAGAACAGCTGAAATTCATATTTTAGATATTATCATATCCACGATTTTTTCGATTTGTACGATATGTATTTGGTGTACCTTGTTTTATTTAATATCTTGCAGGACAGCGGATGTAATGGGTTGTGTAACTGTGTAGTTGGTTCTGACTATTTGCTCATTTTAGATAGGATATTATGATGATGATGGATGTGTGAGCCACCTTAGCTCAGTCGGTAGAGCATCAGACTTTTAATCTGAGGGTCAGGGGTTCGAGTCCCCTAGGTGGCTTTCGTTTTTTGCGGTTTGGAAAATCGCTTGTGCCTTAATTTTTTTCAACTTTGATTGTTCTGAGGCAAAAATATGGTTTTGGCTGGGTTGTGCATTATTTTTTAACAATTGTTTCTGCTGGAATTGCTCAAAACCGTCACATCTTGCATCGGTTTGTGATCATTCTGATGGCAGTAGACTGATATTTTGCCATTGATGAGTGTAATGCTTATTTGCTGACTTAACGAATACCTATTACGTTTTTGTCTCGTCAATTGATTTTGTATACATTTGCGATTCTCTACCAACAAAGATTACTCAATGTGAGTTTATTCGCAAAATAAATCCATGAATATCGAATGTACGCTTGAAGTGAACAGTGGAACATTACATCAAATCAACAAACGAAATCGCAAATATTCGCGTTTACGAGCACACACAGAGCAGAGTTATACGAGAATAAAACTGAATTTTCGCAAATAACACTTATTGACTGATTCCCATGAGTATCAACCGCTTTGGAAGCATTCATATGAGGAATCACTCATTGGACGGACACCAATGAACATCATTGGTTGGAGTTTATATGGCAAACGTGAAAGATTGTCGCTGCAAGCCTCGTTCGCGATTCTAATTTTACAACTCATA